AACTCCAGGTTCAGAGTCCTTCTTAAGAACTTGGTAGACAGTGGCATTATTGACTTTGGTGGTGGTATTTTAGATGTGCGGTCATACATAAATCTGATTCTTGTTTCTCTGTAGGGAGACTTTTTTCTTCTGCTAGAAGTTTTTAAGGGTGGCTTCTGGTTGGTTAGTTGATTTCAAGCCTTTGTCAGGATGTATCTAGGTAAAGCTCCTTTTTCAGTATTGCCATTCAAACTTGATGGTCACTTTTGGCTTGCTAAGAAAAGTTTCTCATATAATTTCTTTCCCTCCTTCCTTACTGTTTTCCTCTTTGGGAATTCCTAGATCTAGTATTTGAACAGCTATTAGAACTCTTAGAAACAATCTAGCTTATCTCTTCACTGTTACGCTTTCCATCTCACTCTTACTGCTCTGTGTTCTGGGAACTTTGGTGATTTGGTCTTTCACATTACTAATTTGTTTTTCCGTTTCATCTTTTCTCCTTTTAAGCCTTTCTGTTGAGATTGTTTCTCCCCCAATCATCTTTTAGTTTCTAGTTTCATGTTTTAGTTTTAGCAATTCCCAGATTGCTCCTTTTTTCCCCAATTTTTTTTTATTGTGGTAAAATTCACATAACAAAATTTACTGTTTTAACCATTTCTAAGTGTACTGTTCACTGGCATTGAGTTCATTGACATTGTTGTGCAGTCGTCTCTACCATCCATCTCCATAATTCTTTTCATCTTGTAAAATTGAAGCTCCATACCCGTTAAACCATAACTCCCTGTTCCTCCCTCCCGCCAGCCCCTGGCAACCCCCATACTTCTTTCTGACTCTATGAATTTCACTACTCTAGGCACTTCATGTAAGTGGAATCATACAGTATTTGTCCTTGTGTGACTGGCTTATTCACTTTGCATGAGGTCTTCAACGTTCATCCATGCTGTAGCATGTTTTAGAATTTCCTCCCTTTTTGGGACGCCTGGGAGGCTCATTCAGTTAAGCGTCTGTCTTCGGCTCAGGTCATGATCCCGGGGTCCTGGGATTCGCGGGGAGCCTGCTTCTCCCTCTACCTCTGCCTCTCTCTCTCTGTCTCTCATGAATAAATAAATAAAATCTTAAAAAAAAAAAGAATTTCCTCCCTTTTTAAGGCTGAAAATATTCCATTGTGTGTGTATACAACATTTTGCTTGTCTGTTCATCCAGCAATAGACATTTGGTTGCTTCTGCATTTTGGCTATTGTGACTAATGTTGCCAGGAACATGGGTGTACATATATCTCTTTGAGACCCTGCTTTTGATTTTGGGGCATATACCCAGAAGTGGAATTGCTGGATAATACGGTAATTCTGTTTTAATTTTTTGTGAAACCACCATATTGCTTCCACAGCAGCTGTACCATTTTTACATTTCCACCAACAGTGAACAAGGGTTCTAGTTTCTCCACATCTTGGCCAACACCTGTTATTTCTGGTTCTGTTTTGTTTTGTTTTTTAAGATTTTATTTATTTGAGAGAGAGAGAATGAGAGACAGAGAGCATGAGAGGGAGG